CGCTTCTAATCTCGTTTTTCTTATCCAATTCTAGTCTTGCTATTCTTCTTGCTTCTAATATCGTTTTTCTTCTCCAATTTTAATCTTGCTTTTAATCTTGTTTTTTTTTCTCCAATTTTAATATTGCTCTTTTCTTCAATTCTAATTTTGCTATTGTTTTCTAGTCCTAATCTTGCTTTTTTCTTGTTTTTCTTCTCTAATTCTAATCTTGCTTTTCTTCTTGCTTCTCATTTTACTCAAATTCAACTCAACAATTCTAATTCTATTTAAGCAATTTCAATCCAATAATTCAAATTCTATTTAATTTTAACTCAACATTTTAAATTCTTTGTCATTGCCAAATATAGATCTGAGGATCGCTGGCTTGTGACTCGCAATCAGGCATGCTACTGACTGAGCTATTCTTGCCACTAGAATTATTAATGATAATAAATAGAATTTAAGTATGTACTTATAAAAATAATATTAATATAATAATAGATAAAAATAATGAAAACATACATCTATTTATATAACAGATCAAGTTATTTGAAAACTGAATTTAGTCCGGAGAAATTATAACTTATGTATTCATCGTTAATGTAAGAAGCAAGTTTCTATCAAATATTATGAAGTAATTCATAGAATAACTTGCTTTTTAATTTTCGAACAGTAGCTCAGTCAGTAGCGTACCCGACTCACACGCAATCGATCCACAGATCGATTTTTGGCAATTACCATAGAAAAACAAGTATAGATGTCCATGACATATAATTTGAAATATTGAATTGAAATTAAATAGAGTTTGCATTGTTGAATTGGAATTGCAAAGATATATAACTAAAAAGTAAGAATTAAAAATAGTTATTTTGAAATTAAGTAGAATTATGAATTGTTGAGATGAATTCGAATCAAATTAGAAGAAGAAGAAGAAAATCTAGATCAAATTGAAGATCAGATTTAGAAAAAAAGGAGATAATAGAATATATAAAAAGAAAGAACTATAATATGATAGTATAGAATGGAATATAATTGAATATATAGTATATTATATTTAAAAATAGTATAGAATATAAAATGATAGGTGGAAGAATGGTCGAAAATACCTAATACCAAAGTATTAGTAATTTATTAATATGTTTGACAAATAAAACTAATTTTTAATAACTTTAAATATACTTTTTACTAATACTTATGGAGAATTCGAGAAAAGTATCATAAAATCGACATCTTAATTAAAAAGCTCGATTAAATATAACAAAACTTAGCTGCACATAATTAGGAAAATAAAACATTAATTACTAGATATAAATTTGAAAGGAAAATAATTAATAAATAATAATTTAAAATAATTAATTACGTTGAAAACAAATAATTGTTTTATCTATGTAAAGTATTGAGGCAACTACAAAACTCAAAAAATAAGAAAACTAGTATAGGACTTTTACCAAGTTTCATTCGATTTCCTTAAAAATAATGCTTCGATGCCCCTTATTGTCCTTAAAAAAATTATTTAGGCAGCATCCTTGTCATACTCCTTTTTATTTCCTTCTCTTGTCTCTATTACCACTAGGCTTACTCGATATTTAATTTTCCATTAAAAATTTCATAATAAACTTATCAATAATCATGTAAAACTATTGTATGACATAATTTCATCATTTATTTTCCGTGTATTATATTATAAGTTTGAATTTGCGCGCGTGTCTTCATTTTAGTCATTATTGGCGAAAGCAGTTAAAATGTAAAAGAATACTTTGTGGCATTCGTCGCCAATACGAAAGCGATTCCATTTACATAAAAATATACGGTATGATTTATTAACTACATAAAAGGTTCTATAATAAATGATTTTGGAATAAAATTTTGATAGTTGGCATGATAAACGAAAATTAGGATATTAATGAGGCACAAGTGAAAAAATCTTATGGTTTCTGTTTGAATCTAAAGAAGATTGTCAAAACATAGGCAGTTTTGATTTATTTTTGTTTCAATTTTTATGTATAATTCAATAATTATGATTGATTAATAAAACATTTTTGCCCTGATGTCCCAGATACTTCTAGATACATGATATAAACTTAAATTCTTAAACATTGGTTGCAAGTACCATATTTTTTCGGTTGTGTTCTGTTACATTTTTCATTAAACATTGCTTCAGGTATTATCAGATGAAAATTTTGTATTTTTTAACTTTAGAAAAGGTCAAACTGATTGCTGATGCAAAGGAAAAAATCCCTAAATAGTTATTTTATAATCAACATCAAATCGATCCTTTTTCAGAGGGTTACTATATTATCAAAAAAAATCTATGTATTAACCAATCAAAATTAATTACTATAATAACTATTATAATAATTTCAAAAGGCGTGGATTGAAATTTTATTGAAAAAATTAATTTGATCTGTTTATATAGTTTTTTTATTTTATAATATGCAGAAATATGTTATAACGTATATATGCAATTTTTATAATTGCATATTTAAATTGATACTTCATAAATTTTCAGCGTAATTTATTCACTTAATTACTTATTTGAAATTCTTTAAAATTATTTCTAGAACTGCAAGAAATATCTGATCTCCAAAATGAATTTGAAAATCCATACATTTTCAAATTTGAAGTTTCAAATTATTCTTGTTTGAATTTTCAAAGTTTGCCTTTTTAATTCATTTTCAATGTTTTAATTCTAAATTTTTGAATGAGTTTATATTTCAATTTTTTTTAAAATAATCAAATCATAATTTAAAAAATACATAATTTCTGAACAACCTTCAAAATTTGCAATCTTTGAAAGATTCTTATTTATTATTTTTTAATTACTTCAAAATTTAAGTAGATTTATTATTTGAGAATCAAGTAATTAAGTTATTAAATTTATTTAATAAAAATACTACAATACTACAATTAACAAAAAGTTTGTTTTGGAATATTATTAAATCAATTAGTATTATTATAATTATTACTAATTATTCTTATTACTTTTTGTGTTTATAATTTTATTTTAATTATGATTATTATTATTATTATTGTCGTTGTTTTTATTATCAATTATTATTACTATTATTGCTGATATTATTTTTTTTTTGTAAATTCCTGTAAACAGTTATTTAAACTACTCTTATTATTAGTTAATATTTTTGATATTATCAATATTATTAATATTATTATTAACTTACTGAAGGAGAAATTCATGTTTCCATAGAAAAATCCAACTCGCTAATTTAATGTTTTCTCGACGTTTCAAGCCATTCTGAATCGAATGAGATCAAGTTTTTTATATTATTAATTATTAATCTAATAATTAACGAATATTTTTAATTGTTGTTTTCATAATTGCTAATTTTATGTTTTCTCGACGTTTCCAGGCATTCTGAATCGAATGATATCAAGTTCTTTATATTATTAATAAATTATTAATCTAATAATTAACGAATATTTTTAATTGTTGTTTTCATTACTACATCAGTCGTACTTTTGTACTACTACAAAAATATAACTTTTTTAAAAATTATTACTATAAGAAATACAAAGTGAACTAATTAGAGATGTAAATTATATGGACCAGGATTCTGGATAAACACCATGATTATTAAAAATAATTACCGTCATTATGAATTTTTAGTGCCAATAAAATCTTGATTATTATTGAATTGAAATGGCTTCAAGAGTGATAATTAAACGTGATGCCTTAATACAATAGACAATAATAATAGTAGTATAAGTTTCTGTCACTTTAAAAATTATTATTTTTATATTGTTATGTATGAGGGTAGGTCGGGGAACAAAGATCCAATTTGACTTTCATTTATTATACTGTCTAAAGCAAATGAACTACATCACAACAAATAACATGTATCTAACTAACAACTATCAACTATGTTCAGTAAAATGGGGACTTTTTTTACAAAGATCACATTGTTTATGATTTTGATCTGGAATTACAACAGAACTATTCATCAGCATAATAAAATTGCTTTATTTAACTAAATTTACTTTTTTATTTAATATTTTTTTATTGTTTACACCCTTGCTAGCGTAAAGGTTTAGTTGGTTCTTATTACCCCAAATAAGCTTTGAGGGTAGAGGATATATGAAAGCTTTTGAATCAAACTTGAAATAATAATGAACGTTATTAAACAATCAATTAACGTATACTTAAAAAATATATTCAGTTATCAAAAACTAAATTTAAGAGCTTTATTTAATATTTAATATTTTTTTATTGTTTACACCCATGCTAGTGTAAAGGTTCAGTTGGTTCTTTTTACCCCAAATAAACTTTGAGGGTAGAGGATATATGAAAGCTTTTAAATCAAACTTGAAATAATAATGAACGTTATAAAACAATCGGTTAACGTATACTTAAAAAATATATCCAGTTATCAAAACCTAAAAAAACTATCAAAGAAACAAAATACTTTTAGTATGATTTTTGATACATGGCTGTTTATCTCCTGATAACGACTTTGTAGGAATTAGGATGATAGCTGGCTACATAGCTTTTGCCTTATACTTTAAAATAATGTTGTTAAAAAAAGCTATGCATTAGTAATAACAGTGGTGATTACTTTTACCCATGGACCTTTGAGCTTTGCTATACTCTATATTAAAGAATTATTAATATCGTTAGATAGTCTTTGTCTAATAGACTGTCCTAAAAATAATAACGATATCAAATAATTGGAATTGGTAAACAATTACCATCGAGTTCCCTCGAGGTCATCCTACCGTCCGTAGAGAGCTGCGTCTACGGCACGCGTCTTCTTCATTCACCATCATCACCATCGCATCTTCTTTCACTCCTTTCCTGCATCATCTCCGGACCTCTTTCTCTCTTTCTCTCTCCGTCTGTCGCCGTCGGAGCGAGGGCGACGGCGATACTTTCGAATTTAGTATAAAACGAGCATCTCGCCGATGGAAGAGCATCAGTTGTCCACTGTTCTTCAAACAGTACGTGAATCAAATCGCGTACTTGGGGTTTTTACTTTAAGTTACAGTGCTAATCAAGAGATACGATAATGAAGGCTTTCGTGGTGAGTAGAAAGAAAGATTCATTCGATTCATCATTTGATTCGTACTAATACCAGAAAAAAACGGGAAAAAAGTGATAATTTTTACAAGTGCTTACGAGGATATGGCGAGCTTTATTGATTGATGATCACAATCGTGGAATATTTTGTGAAATTTTGTGTGAAATTATTTTTTTATCGCTTAAGAAAAATTACTTTTATAGTGCTTCAGTTTGTGAAAGACTTCAGATTTTTCACGTTTTCAAAATTTCAAAATTTGAATTCTTAACATTTTTTATTTTTATATTTATTCTCTACTATGGTTTTTATAATTTCTTCTTAAAAACGTTTATTGCACTATACGAGTCAACTCTTTATCTTTGACATTGCAAATATTTAACAACTGCCTAGATTTTTGATGACTTTATTGTTCCAATCTAAATATTAATTGATATCTTAAATATTTAAAAAATAATACGTTGTATATCTAAAAAACTAATACTACAAATAAATAACAACACATGTGATCACTTTTTTCATATAATCAAATAAATTTCAAAAGTTGTTACCATAACCTTTTTAAAACGAATACAAAAATATTTAAACACAATAACAAAATCATATGAAATTTGCTATATATAAAACGTTTCCGAACCTGATTTTACAAGTAAAAAGTAAACTTATATTATGTAAAATCATCGTCAACAATATCACTCGTCAACACCTTTTATTCTCTAATTATAACATTTTTGTATCAAATTAATAATTATACAACGCATATAAATTTTTAATTTTTCTTCTTTTTTTATTAACTTCCAACTTATCAATCAGGACAATTTACAATTCTATATGCTATTGTGATATATGTTTTTATAAATTATTTCAAATTTTATCCGTCAATAATCCGGTCAATATCACTATATCATTCATCAATCCATCACTTATCATTGAGACCCTTACATGAGACGACTATGAAATTTTCCTCCAGATTATGTCAGCTTTGGTGGTGATGGCGTCCGCCAGACCCGAGGCCGGATACGCATACAACCGCCCTAGTGGAGGTTCCCATGGCGGTTCATCCTTCGGAGGCTCCCACGGTGGTTCTTCCTTCGGAGGATCCCACGGAGGTTCATCCTTCGGAGGCGCTTCTTCCTCTTTCGGAGGATCCCACGGTGGATCATCCTTCGGTGGATCATCTTTCGGAGCTAGCGGACACGGTGCCTCTTTCGGAGGTTCAAGCGGATCATCATTCGGCGGACAATCTTTCGGTGGATCTTCCTCTTTCGGAGCATCTGGTAGCGGTGCATCTTTCGGCGGTTCCTCATTCGGAGGATCAGCTGGATTCTCTGGACAATCTGTAGTACAGAAACACATCTACGTCCATGTCCCACCACCAGAGCCTGAGCAACACTTCAGCCGCCCAATTGCCCCACCACCACCAGCCCAGAAACACTACAAGATCATCTTCATCAAGGCCCCAACTCCACCAACCCCAACTGCCCCAGTCATCCCTCTGCAACCACAAAACGAAGAGAAGACTTTGGTCTACGTTTTGGTCAAGAAACCAGAAGAAGCCCCAGAAATCGTTGTACCAACCCAAGCACCAACTCAACCCTCCAAACCAGAAGTATACTTCATCAAATACAAGACCCAAAAGGAAGGTGGCAGTTTCGGAGCATCTGGAGCAGGAGCTTCTTTCGGAGGTACCGCCAGCGGTGGCTCTTTCGGTTCCACCGGAGCTGGAATTAGCGGAGGTGCCATCAGCGGAGGTTCCCTCTCAGGAGGATCCCTCAGCGGAGGTGACCACTCAAGCTCTGGAGGCGCTGGAGTATCTTCAGCCTACGGACCACCTGGACACACCAGCGGTGGACCATACTAAATCACGAATGCCTTACATTAGCACATGTGGAAGAGAACATTTCGCAGGAATCTTGTGGATTTTGCTAACACTTACCATCATGGCAGTGATTGCTGGTAAATCACACAAGAACATCTCATCAAATCCTCGAAGAAAAGATTCCAAATACGATTTCTGGAAAATCGTAACCAAAAACATCTCCGAATGTTCTTTTCACAATTTTCCACTTGTAAATATTTCTTTCTTTCTTCTTCTATCTCTAAATTGCTGAAAACATTTCGTTTTTAACAATTTTGCTCTCTTTAAAACCGCCAATGTGTCGCGCCGATGCGGCGGTTTGTTCTCACCGCCATTTCAGTAAAAACCAACAAAAATTATTTTCGAATTCGATCAATTTTTTTTGTAATTGCAAATGGTACGTTGAGAATTTCGGCTAGGCGCGAACTTCAAAAACCCATCTTAGGATAATTTTAATATATTGTAATAAAATTATATATTTTTTATACATTTTGCAAAAAACGGTGACAATAAAATGTATTTAAAAAAAATCTCTAGCATTTTTACTAATCCACACGAATGAAGTATATTAATTATTAAATCGTATTTTGGCGATCAATTATTAGAATATTCAATAATGAGAAAAAATTAAAACATTGTATACTTGATACTACTCTGATACCTATACACTAAAGCATTTTTGATATTATTTTATAATAATCATTTAGCACATCACTTTTCTACTTTGTTTGAATAATACAATACAATATATTTAAAAGTATTAACATATAAAATAATTCGTATTAAATGTCTAGACTTCAAATTTCAAATTATTAGGGGTACAACTTTGCTTCCGCCGTTTTTACAATACAAATTTCGGGAAAAAACGGCGGAAGCAAAGTTCTACACCTAATATATATTTGAACATATTTTATATGTAGAGCAGGTGTTTGAACTTTTCTAAAAAGAATTTCTGCAAATTATAATTAAAATATATTTATCTGAAAGACAGTATAAAAACTGCTAATGTTTTCATAATAATATCAAATTCATATTCAAAATTACTATGACATTTTTGTCTGATGAATAAGATGCTTATTTTAATCTGATACACACACACACACACACATATATATATATATATATATATATATATATATAATGCATAATATTATCAAATCCAAATAGAATAATTCATATAATCCTGCATTGATACAATATTTTGCCAATCAGGATTTTTTTGCTATCCAGGCATTTGGTATGAAAATTCAATTGCTGGCACCATCTATGATATTAGCACAAAATAATTTATATAAATACTAACACTTAAACGATAACATGTAAATTATATTATATTTCTTATTTAAATATTATTTTGCTGATTTATTTTTGGTAAGTATTAATCATATATTTTTCAGATTTATCAATCATATTTACGATTTAAGTTTTTCACATTTACTGGACCTTTTCAGGGTTAATACCCATTTCAGACATCCAGATATCAAGCAGTAGTGATATCAGTTTTTATCTGAAAATACATGTTCAATCATTTTTGAATCAAATTAAAGCTTTATACGAGTGATAGTATTAGATAAATTGCAATAAAAATATATTGTATATATATAGGATAACCTTTGGGTTGTCTTCTAAGAAAACTACGTAATTAGGGTAGGGCGGGGCTAGTTGAGCAAATTTTTACTTAAACGGATGTAGCTCCTCAATGAAAAGTCTCAATAAATTGCTATACGGCTTAATGGATTTGATGTTTATGCTTAACAAAAGTATTAATACTATTTTTTGGTAATAAGTAAAATTTAAAAGCTACAGCTGTTTAAATGCAAAAAGTCAGGTATGCTCAATGTACCCCATAGGTGAGGCAAGTTGAGCACTAAGAAAGTATAATGAAATTATAGGTTCAATGTCGATTAGTGATGAAATAAAATAAGTTTTTAATAACCAGTTCTATATTTATAGTCTTTATTGACAGAGAAAACAAAACTTAATTTAACTTAATTTTCTTTGAATAATTAACCAAAAGTAGAATCAACAAAACAATATCGTATCTTAGGAATTATTTTATCCCTATATTCAGTATTTTTGTTTAAAATCATTATTTCTTTATATTATTACTCATAGACTTAGCTTAAATCTTAAAAAGGATAATTAATTTCTGGAAGTTAATAGTAATTGTCTTAGTGACAGAACAAGTTTAGCAGCTATGCTCAACTAACCCCAACTCGGAATTTCGAAATAAAAGTGAGTTTATAAAAAAAACGTGAGAATTATACCCAGAATCTATGTGCATATTAAAAGTACAATAATTATATGGAAGAATAACATTTACCTGATTAAAAATAAATAACATTTGACTAAACCAGACGAAAACTCGTGATGAATTACTTTTTTACTTTTTGGTCTCAAAATAAACAAAACGCCCGTGAGTCTCACTCATTTGTCCAGCGGCCACTAGCGATCCGGGGATGTTTATTTTTCCCAAACCTCTATCTTTTCGCCATATAATGCCTAAACGGACGGTGAATAGTTTTCGAGATATTTCGATTGCTCAACTTGCCCCTATGCTCAACTAGCCCCGCCCTACCCTATTTCATAGGATTCCTAAGAAACACACATTGTATAATCACATTATATCAATTAAAAATCAGATTCGTCCAAAACAATATGTCTGTCCTATAGGAAAAATTTCGATACATTTTTTAACTTTCCAAGGAAGAAGTTTATATTTTCGCCAGAATATCCGATTTGCTAATTGTGTTTTAAATAATTCTGATTTTTTTAACAATTCAAAAACGTATGGGCGTGTGCAGGACATGAGCCGAAATTTTATATTTTCTCAAAAACAGCTGCACCGATTCCAACTTTTAAAAATAATTAGATTAAGCTCGCCGAGAACTCGTATCCATTTGTTTTGAGCTATAATCGGCCAAACCGTTTCTTCGCGATTAATAATTGAATTCTTGAAACTCATGGTCTAACCAACCTAAAGTTCATGGTCTAACCTATAGGTTCCCAAACTGTTGTTTGTCGTAGACCCGTCGGTCTTTACCATAGACCCTCTGTTTACCCGATATCGTTTTTTCATAAATTTCTATTGAATATTCAAAGTAAAAATATATATTACTTCTACACATTTATTAATTGGATTTAAAATAATAACAATAAAAAATAAAGTAAGTCATAGACCCCTAAGGATCCATATGGAGCACTTTGAGAATCTGTGGCTTAACCAAGTACCCTAAACCATAATACTATAAAAACGCCTAAAATATAATACTATAATAACACTATAAAGTAGTTTATGAAAATTCATCAAAATAAAATTGGAATATTGAGTACAACAGATTAGGTCGATTATTTACACATTTTAAGAAGTTCATTTACCTTGATTTAAGTCAAAATGCCACTTACACCTAGTTAACTTCCTGTAGGGTAAGTTATAGTAATTGCGAAAAAAATCAAAAATAAAAAATTTTATATATCCTTGCAGATTTCTGAACATTTTGGCATACTTTAGAAACCATTGATGTTGTGTGTGTGTGCGTATACAAATTTTCGTCGACGATTTCGGGAACACGAATCAACCGATTTGAATAATTCAAAAAACGTTCGTTTCGTATTGATAAGGAGACGTGCTAATTAGTTTTTGGCAAAGGCAGGTCTAGCCGTTTTGAAGATCCGTGACAATTTCTGTCATTAGACATATGCACATCAAATCATCAGATATTTTATAGAGATTTTAATAATAAGTATGAATTTTGTTTACATTTCTATTGGTTCTGTACCAATGTTTATCCGTAAAACTGCGATGCGGCGCCTAAGCGCTTCGATTAATTTTTCTCTAAAACAGTCACGCTGCACGGTTGCTTTGAAAAAAGTTGAAAATTTCCAGAAAAATTCAAAGTATAAAAAAATTCTGAATATAAAAAACAAATCTAATTTTACAAAAAAGTCAAATTTGTTCAAAATTTTTAAAATTCTCAAAAATGTTACTTTTTGAAAGTTTTCAAAAATTTTTTAAGGGTTTTCTTAAAAAATCTTAATTTTTGGTACGGGAAGTTACAGCAATTTGCCTCAAAGCACAATGCCATGCACCACTAGTTTCAATTATTTTAGCAGATTCAATATCTCACTCTGCAAAAAAATTAATATGTACTAAAAACAAACTCATCTCCTCGTTTCTCGTCATCTGCTACGTGATAAAATCGAATCTTCCGAATCGATATTGAGCATCGCAATAAATTAAAACTTTCAATTTTTGTATTCAAAACGTTTTTCTAACACATATAAAACCCACACACGTCCAAGTTAACAAAAGATGAACAACTTGTAGGATTATTATTAGTAGTGAAAGTAAAATCTCCGTTTCGATGATATTATTATGAAGAATGAAGAATTCATGTAGATTTCAGATCGATCACTGCGGGACTTCTTCATGGAATTATTATGATTTGATTAACTAGTAGATCTATACTGTATTGTTAGGTTTTAGGTTAACAATAAGATTTTATTATAAGATCAAATTGCGAACACGATTTCCAATAAGACGCTGGATATCGGTATTCGGTATATCATGTCTACATGTTTAATAAGAAAGATATTTAATCGTCGAAAAATCGAAATTGAAAATTTTTGCATATCTTTACGTTTTGAAGGTTTCTGAACATTTTGGCATACCTTAGAAAAAATGATGTGTGTGTATGTGTATGTGTGTATGTATGTATTTTCGTCCACGGTTTAGCCGATTTGAATGATTCAAAAAACTTTTCGTTTGTGTTGGAATAACAATTGCTTCTGAAAAAAAAAATTAATTTTTGTTTGTATATCGAAAATAATTCAGATTTTAATTTTAATTCTGGCTAAAGTTCTGAAGCTCACTTATATACTTTAAATATATGGTTTTAACTTTGTAATTCAGTTTTTATAAATCTTATAAATATCAGACAATGTTACAGTCTTCATAATAATCTATTTGAAAACATTTAATATTCTTCGAATATTGTATTAGAGTACGGGAAGTTCCAGCA